GTTGCTGTGTAATGTTTCATAGCAGTTTTTCATAAGCTTTTGTATTTATGTAGTATGTTATAGCTTTTCCTCTTTTATTTCTTTATAATAGAGGATCTTATGGTATGTAAATTATACCTCAAAAAATGTTTAAAGTATGAAAATGGCAACTAGAAAACCAGTCCTCTTTGCCTTCCAGTTGTTTGAGGTTCACCAAATACCACTGAGATGCATTCATCTAGTCATTCACTTATTTACTCTCCCATATTTCTGCCTGTCCGTTTATCCATTTATAAGCCATTCATCCATCCAACTAACTATCCTTGTCTGGGAAGGTCTAGGTTGAAAGAAATGAATCAGACATAGATCCTGACTTAAAGAAGTTGGACTAATTAAAGTAGGACTTTTTGTTAAGAATATTTGGGATTACCTAGCAGAAAATAGATATATTTTGAGAATGAGAAGAAACCTATGTTATAATTTATGTAACATATGCAAAAAGGCTATCTTCTTTATCCTTTGGACTATACAATGCTTAGGAATTTGCTCTTGGGAGGACAGTGGAATAACATAGTTATCAAGATCCCTGACCTTAGTCAGACCTGGGTTCTGGCTCTGTGTACGTTGCATAAGTGCACTAACTTCTCCAAGCTTCAGCTGTCACAACTGTAAAACAAAGATAATTTCAGTTTTATAAGGCTGTTAATAGAATTAATGACATAATTCATGTTAAAACACTAAAACACTAAAGTGAGTGCCTGGTATAAGTATGTGTTCAATAAATGTTAATTATTTTATCATATTTGTGACAGATTGAGGTTGTCCAAATTTAACCTTTTTTCTCAAGGCATGGAGTGCTGTTCCTCTCATTAGGATTTGTGTCTTGTCTACTCTCATTTTTAGAGCTGTGATGAACCTAGGTCTATATCTGCACCATCTAGAAGTGATTTCAACTTTTTTGAAACATTATGATAGTATGTACTGCTCACATTTCAGTTAACATAGATTTGTCTTTTATTCATGCTACCTCTTTATTTGGCTTATCTCCCCTTACAGTTGACAGTTTCCTTGTGGGCAGAGAATATATATAAAACATCTTTGCTTTGACTCTAGAAGCTTATGTGGTGTTTTGGTACAAAAAATGATAGGTGCTCTATAAATAGAGTAAGTGGTTATTCACTCATGCAGAAAGGCAAGTTGACATGGGGTAAATATTACTTGAATGAAGATGTAGATTAATTAAAAGATGTGTTTTTGGCACAGTGGGTCAGGCTTAACAAAAGGGGGCTTGACATTAGGTGTATTTGTGTCTTGGGCCCTTCACTGTCCTAAAAATAAAATTTACTCAACTCACTGCATTGTGAACTGACACAGCATGCTTGATAGATACACATTGGGAAATTGGCATTGCTTTAGGGGATTTGTTACAGCATATCAAGTGTACATGGAAGGAAAGGACAGTTACAGTGTCTTGGTAAGGAGAAGAAAAGAAATATAGACAAAGAATACATGGAATTATGGATGCAGATATAATATTGAGTCAAGGTTCATAATGAAAGAAAATATGACAGCTTATTTACTGATCAATTTTGATACAGGGAAGGAAGTCCAGATACTTCCTCTGGCAAAGAGAGGTTATGATGTATAAAAATTGTACCTTTGATAGCAAACACAGAAAGTATTTATAGTTGTAATGGTTTTATAAACCTTACAAGCCCTTGTTAGAAGTGTTCTTGACTGACAGAGTTTTCAGATTTCCAACAAGTGAAGTTCATGCTCTGATTTCAATTGGAGCAATCACCCGCTAACAGGTAATGTGACTGGATGTGATATTATGCTATTATGCTTACCTAGGCTTGTGGATCCACTTGCTCTCTCAACGAGTGGCTACATCTTTCATGTTTTATCCCTAGGTTTTGCTATTTGAGTTGGGTATATGACATAGTGAAAAGCACATCAGCTTGGATTTCACCATACTTTATTTAGAACAGTGGTACTTCCATATATTAGCTAGATGTTAGTGAGTTTGAGCTTATGTTTTCTTATCTTGAAGTTGTAGATAACAGTGTAATCAAGTTAATTGAACTTTAGTCATTGTTGACAACATTATCATTATCATTGTCATCATTGTGGCTACACTTGATGAACTCTTAGTATGTACAAGAATTATTTTAAGTGCTGTGTAATTCTTTCCACACATATCAGTAAGGTGCATAATATTATTTTCCCCATTTAAAACATCTAGTAAAATGCCAGGCACATTATAGATGCATGGATTTTGTTATTACTTAATAATACCTTTTATCATATTTTTCCCTAAGTACAACTTAAATACTGATGATTTAAAATTCTCTATTTAAAAAAGTTCTAAAATATCAAAAGGAGTTAACCTTGGAGTTTATGTAGTTCAGTGATTTCTATACTTTTTAAAGACAGAAACTATTGTTCATATGACTGATACATCAAAAACATAAAAGAGCTGAACTGTTTGAATCAGGTGTGGGGGACTTTAGCCTTCCCTCACAACACATCTGGGCCAAAGACTCTGAGGAATAGTTTGAAAATGACTGATGTAGTCCATGCCCAGTATACATACCTAGATAACGTGAGTTACTGTTTTTTTACCTGTAGATCCTGAATTAGAAATTAGATATCCTGACTCCATGATCCATTGCTTTCTATGAGACACAATGTTTTCTAGCATTACAATTATTATTATTCACTAAAACATAATGACTTAAAGATGATAAAACATCTTTATATTTGAATCTCATAATTTTTGTAATGGGCATAACCTGTTCCTTCTAGTTCACTTGAAAATGCTGCATAATATGTACAGTTTGTTTATTTTGAAAATTTGGCAGAGGTAAGGGGGAAAAATCCAAGACCAGAAATAAAAAGTCTTATTCCACTGAGACAAGTAAGCACACTGGAGATGGCATTAGCTGTGGGGTCACATTCTAATCCCTGATGGTAGAAGCTGACTTCTAATGAACACTCTATAGTTAGACAGGAGACATAACCTGGGGCTGGTGCGAGAGGCATCAGTCAAGAATTTTGAAGGGTAAATCCTCAGAGGGTGACTAAGAAAAATTCCCTCTGCAAAAGGAGACTCTCCTGTCAGTCTTGACTCTAGATAAAGGGGGTATGGAGGAGAAAAGTTTGCAGAATTTATTCAACCTGTGTGGCTCAGTCCTCATCCCCAAGGCAGAATGTAGCCTAAAGTGGTCTTGGTTTGATAGTTCCCTCAGGCACTTGGCAGAAGCAAGCACAAATCCTCTCTGAAGAAATTCAATTTTAAACTCTGAATCTCAGACAATTCCCACAGATTAAATTTCAAAAACATATGAGCTCACAAATAAAATAATCACTCAAAACACAAGAAAGTCAGCACTTATGCATGATACTCAGTGAAACAACAAACTGTAAACTCAGATGCACATATAGTGAACATACTGGAATTATCAATATAACCTATGTCTGATGTGTAACATAAAAAAATAAATTAAAAGATGAAATAGGGGACTATCAAATTTTCCCAAGGTGACTGAAAATGAATCAAATTCTAGGAAATAGAAAATGAGTGAAATTAAAAATATATATGACTGAAACAGAATATGCTCAAGAGACAATAAACCAAAAGGAACATTTAGATGTTACACAGAATTCAGCATAAAGAGGAGGGAAAAGAAACATGAAAGCAAGTCAAATAATACAGAGGAGAAGGAGTGACATTTATCTAATTAGAATTCCAGAGAGAATAGAAAAAATGGTGAAAACCATCTATAATATATGAGAATTTTCCAAGTTGAAGAAAGATTTAATCATTTGATTCAAGAATTCCAAGGAATTCTAAGAATAAAAATAAACTCATACCTAGATATCTTAGAGAAAAATTAAGTAATACAAAATAAAATCCATCTATCAATCAATCAAAAAGGTTCTTAAAAGCAGCCACAAAGAAAGGGTTTGCCACATACAAATGAATGAATATTAGAGTAACACCTGACTGTCAAGAGCAAAAAATAGAAGGCAGAAAACATTGGAATATCTTTAAATTTTGAGAGAAAAAAATTATATACCCAGCACCTATCTATACAAATTAATGTTGAACATTGTCACTATCAAAATGTCTTCACTAAAAGAATTTTAAAAGGGATACTTTAGATAGAAAACAACTATCTTAGAAGGAATATGGGATTTAAGAAGGAATGTTAAGCAAAGAAATAGTAAACATGTGGTTCAAAAGATATGCCCCAGGAAACACATTCAAGAATGTTCCTTGCATTTTGTTTGTAATTTGAAGCCTGCCAATAACTCAAGTGCCCATCTTTAATATAATGGATAAAGTGAAAGTGGTGTATTTATTCTGTGGAATATTATATAACATTGATGAACGGTAGCTACAGGCATTAACATGGATGAATAGAAAAAGATATACCATAAAGGATATATACATACAGTATGATTTCATTCTTGTAAAATTCAAAATGGGTAAAACTAAATTATCTGTTATTTAAAGATAAGTACCTATATATGGCAAAACCATAAAAATATCCAAAAGAGTGATTAACACAAAATTCAGGATAGTTATCTCTGATGGCTGGGAGGGGTAGTCATTGAGGTGTAATCAAGGGGTATTATTCTGATCGTATTCAAGTTATTTTATATATTCATATATATATTCATTTTATCTATTTTTTGCATATCATAAATTTTGCAATAAAATAATTATAAAAAATCTAGTCATGTAAGGTAGGAAGGGTATTCAGGATCAGCATGGATAAAAGCCTTCAGCAAGGAACAACTGTAGCAGGTTTGAATGTTAGGGAAAAAAATCTCAAGCATGGGATGAGGAATTGTCCAAAGTTTCATTTTCCCACTCTCCAACCCCTTTTCCCAATCCACTTTTGTGTATTACCACGGTATGTTTTCATGCATGTTGACATATGAAACAAGTGTTTCATGGTTTATTATTTGCAATTCTTTTCTTCCCTGATGTAAGATTTTGTTTCTTCCAGGTCATAACTTTTGTGCAGAAGGGCCTAAATGTGGTGAAAACTCAGAGTGCAAAAACTGGAATACAAAAGCAACTTGTGAGTGCAAGAATGGTTACATCTCTGTCCAGGGAGACTCTGCCTACTGTGAAGGTAAGTAAGCTATTTAATGAAGTTACTTGTGAGAAATGTATTCCTGGTATATGTAGTTGAAGATTCAAAGCCATCATGTGGCTCTGGTCCTACAGGATTCTACAGGAAATTATATCAGATACCTAGGGTACCCTGTCCTGGTTTATTCTGGCTGCTTAGTAGCATGTGAAAGCAAGGCCTCCGAAGGCATGAACAAAACACAGCAAAGCAACAAAAACAGTAGGGCCATATCAAATCTCATGTTTCTGCTGTTACTATATTTAACAATCACCAGTAAAATCATAAATACATAATTTTTATTGTCTTATTTGAGTAGACTGTCATCTCCAAGTTGAATTAAGTGTTATGTGGTAGATCCTCTTTTTGAATGATGCCTCAATACTGGCTTATACCCAACTGCCATTTTCTTTACCTGCCAAGGTAAGAATATTCTTTTCAATATGATTTCTTAGTGACTGATTTATCAGTTGCTAAATTTCAAACTCAACTGAAAGTCACAATGACAGATGGACTCATAATTTTGGCACATGGACTGATGCCATAGGGTTGGTGGCCTCAAGCATTAGTGACCATCATGTCCACTTCAGGGAGAAGAACAACTCTTCTGTTGAATGTGAACATCTCTTAACAAGCTCAGTATTCCACCTTGCTGGTGGTGAGCTTTGCCCATTCCTGCTCCTCTAATATCTCGGAGGAGAAGGCATTAGCTCTGACCCTAGTTTATATGTACAGTGACCTAAGGACTGAGCCTGTCCATTTCTCAGGCGCTCACTGGCTCCCTCCCATCAGTTCAGAGAAGTTCTAATAGATGAAGTGAAGCTTGACTGTTTCTTTGTCCTGGTTGGATCCAATCGTTCATGGCATATTCATTAGTTATGTTTAGAACCTTGGTGATTTGCTTTTCAGGAAGGCTGGTATCTTGAAGAGAATGAATGCTGCAAAATCTTGGTAACTCCTTCAATTGGTTTGGTTCCCAATTGTCTTTACTTATCCTCAAGGTAAAGACAATTGATGAGAATAATGGCAATTTGCTTTCCATTCTGCTGTCTTATGTCATCGACCACTGCTTAATGTTTTGGCTTTGACTAAAGATCTCTTCAGTTCTTAAGGAAATGTGTCCAGTCACCATCAGTGCTCAGTACCTGGCAGGTAACCTCTGCTTTTCATTTCTTCTGGAAGACTTTCTTCATACGGCTTTGGTTCACATTAGCAATACAGTCTAACTAACAGGGTTTTTTTTTCCCCTTTGTTTTTAACCTTTTTCTCTTTTTCCTTAACTTTATAGATTTGAACTTGATTCTTGGTAGGATGAAGCTGCCTCTTTGGTTATATACTTTTTCATCTACACTTTAATATCATGTCACTTATTTGTCAATTTTGAGCAAGAGGACTATTAATTTCAATACCTCACATTAATATTTATTTTTTATATCTTTATGCTTTTTTAAATTTTTTGGTCAGAAAATACTGTAAATAAAAAAAAATTACACCTGTGACCATCCTCCTCTCTATTAACCATGGAAAAATCCTACAAGCCAGGTAATGGTCTTAAAAGGTTACTTTCTTACCTTCTACTACATGTGGCAGTAGACTGTGAATAATTATAAAAGTGATAGAAGGAACCTCAAAATAATTTGAATCCTGATTCTACCAGTGGCAAACCTTTTAGCTGCCCACTGGAGCCTGTACCCTCACTGTTCCTGGCTCCCTTTAGCTGTTGATACCTGGCAGAATTTGGGAGAAAATGGCTGGTGCAAATGCTTTTTGTGAATCTTTCTCTTCTCATTGATGGTATCATTTTTTATTACATAGAATCAATGCCATGAGGAGCCATTTGTGATATTAAACCTGCCCTTTGTGTTTGAGGCCTTATTTTATTGGTTATATTGAGCAATTTTAGGTCTGAATTGCCGTTTTTTTTGGACCTACTTCTCAGCTCAGTGCATGTGCCTGGCCTTGGGACAGTGCGTACTGTGGTGCCTCCTTAGATAATGTTGATGTGCTTGGGCTTCATTCATTTCTCTGGTATCATAGAGACTTTCTGCAAGTTCCAGAAGCTTATTCATGGGGAGAAGGATAGAATCTAAGAAATGATTTAACATTCTAGCCCATTTATGGGGTAAAAAGAGAACTCAGGGAGTAAAGCAGGTCAAATACTGGCCATCTGGGATGGGAGCCACTGAGAACCAAGTAGAGTGAATACCAACATTTAGAGCAAATGTTCCTCTCTCTTTCCATTTGGCCCTCTTTAGCACAGTGGATTTTGGGCTTGTTTTCCTGTGGTTGCATGATGGCTTTTGTAACCCCTGGCATCATGTCCTTATACCAACATCCTAAGCAAGCAAGAAAGGAAGAGGCAGGGGTTAAAAACCTTCTCTGTGTGAAGTCTTTATATATTTAAAGAAAATGTCCCACTCCATGCAGAAGATTTTTGCTGCCTTATTTTTTAGACCTGGGTCACATCCTTTCCACTGTTTGGGAAAGGGAAGTAAGATGACTGTCACTTGTTTGGGCTAACTGTGTTCAGCTCTTGTTGCTGGAGTAGGAATTTGCCTTCCCGGAAACCAAATGACCTTTGCCCTTTACCTGAACCAGTTAGGGAAGCAGGAAGAGGGTAGGGGTGGGTTTGTGTTGGGAAAAAGCTGTGTCTACCATTCTTTTATGGTTAATTTAGTTTTTGGCCATTTCCCCAGCTCTGTTCTCAGAATTACCCCTTGGGATGGTCTGATAGGCAAGAATAGAGGTCACCAATTACCCAGAGACTCAGAGGTAGAGTTCGTTGTCTCACCGTAGCCTAGAGAGAAGGAGATGCTTACAAACTGCTTCAGACAAGTTACTATTTTACTTGCCTGAGTAAATTGAGTAAAAATAACCCACATTGTACAAACTGCAATGAACAAGACTGGCTTGCAAATTAAAACAAAATATTACACACATTGTCCAGGCCATCTTACACAGCCTATTCAGGCTCTCCATGGAAAAAGTACAATAGGCTTTCCATTTTCGTAATGTCCTAGGCTAGTAGCAGAGAAACGGTGTATTAAGGACCCCTGCTCTGCAGAGATTGTTGGAGAAACTGCCATAGAGAAGATATTGGTACTCCTAGCCAATCAATAGACGATAATAAGATCCTCTGTCGGTTGTGAACAATTCACAGGAGGTCATTTCATTCTGCCTCGTCCAACTTAAGCAGGAACATTTCCCCATTTTGAAAACTGCTTTAGTTGGATTTTGGCATTATATGAATCTGGTTTGCTGAGGCCTTTTACCTTTGTGATGACATTTTCAGTGGGTTGGTCTTAAATAGTTTCTGATACATTGGCTTAAATTAGAGGTAGTGCCTGAGGGAGTGTACAGCAGTTGTGATCTACTCATCTTATTTATTGGATTTGGAATCTGCATAGGATCTTAATAAACTTTTTCTTCCTATAGTAAGAAGTTATTCAGAAGAATAAAGAACAATGTGATATCATCATGCAGTTTGTCAGGCATGGAAGGTACTACAATTAGCATTAAATGGCAATGCCTTCTCCTTACAGAGTGCTCTGAATGTTTCAGACTTCTTTTATGTATATTGTACGTAAATCTGTGAGGAATGCATCAGCATGAGGTATATTCACTTCATTTTACAAGTGCAGGACCCTCAGACTCAGAGGAAGGCAGTAAAGATAATGTACTCATTTCTACTCCAGGGCTTGATGCTCTGACTTGTGCTGCTTCCCACCTGTCCATCCCCCACCCTGTTGCCATGTTGTATTGTTCAAAATATTTGCTACCTTCTTAATCCATTGAAATAATGTGTGGATGTGAATATTTCATTTCAGGATAGCAGCTCTAAGAGATATTACAGGGTTTTACTCATTCTCTTTTCTAACACAAAACTGGCAAGATTTCAGAGTAGGGCTTCTCTTTTAACTGGAGTCCCAGAATGAAGGTGTTATGGAATAGTGTGAAAACTGTCAGGAGACGGACATGTGGCATGAGTGAGGAATAATTGTGTAAATCACTGAAATTGTGGAGGGTACAAATATCTGTTACCTTTGCATAACTTAGCCTAAGCCTACTGGTATACCTGTTTGAACTATCTTGGGGTTTCAGAAGGATACCTCCAGCTCGGTGCTCATGACTGAAAGCAGTTTTTTTTAAGCATTGTTGAATTACTACAGAAAAAGTACAAATTGTGTGGATCATTAATAATCTTCTCTGGCTTTCCTGCCAGGCAATAGATTTTTTTTTTTTTTTGTAGACCTCAAGTTGTAAATTAGGGCTTTGTTATGGCCAGTTCCAACATGGGAAACTGCATTTCCTAATTAAGATGATAATGAAAAAATACATGTCAAAATTGAGCAAATTGTCTGATGTTCACTAAACATTTAATGGATCAAAATAGTTACCATCATCATTAACTTATACCATTAATGTTTACGAGGATCTTTCTTGGAATTGGAAGAGTTTGTGCTTGTTCTTGTTCAGGCTAATACTTTGAGAAAATGGGCTTCCCACATCTACATCTTTTGTCATTATTGGCAGGTAGCAGGGGAGAGTGTTCTTAGATGAAAGGACCAGGTTTTCTCAGTTTTGCCAGGAGCATATTGTTGGCATTATATTTTATACCAACACTGAGCTGGAGGTATCCTTCATGATTATTTAAATGATGAAATCCTTCCTTCCTTGGAAAAAGGCATAAATGAAGCTGTGTTCAAAGAAGTGATGTGGCACAAAAAGACCTGTGTTGATATAAATTTAATAATTTCAGGTAACAAAACTAGTGAAATGTCAGAAACACAGCAACTGATTAGCAAGGCAATTTATACCTTCTTTCGTGACTAGAGGTTACAACAAAGGGTCTGACCCTTTGTTAAGAGGCTGGGACAGTGACAGGTCAGAGTTCAGATAGCAGATTCAGAATAACTAAGGGAGTAGATATTCACTGGATGCAGAGGCTAGCATGAGTGCATTTCCACAGAAACAAGACCCTGTAAATGTCTGATGAAGAAAAT